AGTGTCAGAGTTGCTCTGCATCTCTGTGTACCCAGAGTCCACTCCTGTCTGTGTGAATTCAATGACCTTAGGATTTCCTCACACTCAGAACTTCTGTGGAGAATTGCAGGCCTCCTGCTGGGGGTAAGATTTCTTGTGATGTGTCTGAAGTTGTGTCTGATTCCTGGCTTCTGGCTCCCCAGGCTGCACATGGTCCGACTGATGTTGCTAGAGAGGCTGCTGCAGAACCTACCTCAGCTGAGGAACGTTGGAGGAGTCAGGGCCATTCCTTATATGCAGGTAGGTGAGGAGGACTCAGGAGTTAAACCTTAATCAAACAATTAATCACTGCTGCTGGGTTTGTGTTTGCACACACTTGTCCATTTCTCTTTCGTGCTCGGTCACAGTGTGTGAGAAATTTGGGAAAGAACAGATTAATCAAGATAAATGGTGAAAGGTCATCTGTATTATCTTGAAAACATGCAACCTGCCCTTTATTAATTCTCTGACCTCCATTCCCAGGTTATTCTGATGCTCACAACAGACCTAGATGGAGATGATGAGAAAGATAAGGGAGCTTTAGATAACCTTCTGTCCCAGCTGATTGCAGAACTGTGCATGGACAAAAAGGTGAGCTGTAGTGTGTGAACACATTCTTCATTTGCCCCTTGTAGTTTGGATTTCTTTCATGGAGGAACTGGGTGCATGAGAGTCACAGAAAAACATTGCTGTGGGGATGCATTCAGGGGGTTTATTTCTCTTGGCTCACTCTATATAGGGTAGAAAATCATAGAATAATAGAATCATTTTGGTTGGAAGAGGCCTTTAAGATCATTAAGTCCAACCATTAACCCAGCATTGCCAGGGCCACAAACCCATGTCCCTCTGCACCACAGCTTGGAAACCCCTCCAGAAATGGGGACTCCACCACTCTCCTGGGCCAGGCCTGACCAACCCTTGCTGGGGGAAGACATTTCTCCTCATGTCCAACCTAAACTTCCCCTGGGGCAACTTGAAGCTGTTTCCTCTTGTCCTATCACTCTTTCTTTGGGGGAAGAAATGGATTCCCACCAACAGACACGAGTGCAACTCATGGTTCTGGCATCCACGAGCGAGCATGAAAATTTGTTTCACTTGAATTAAACTCTTAAAGCAGACATGATCAGTAATGCATAATTGACACACATAGCTTTCCAGTTGTGTCAGGCTGTTCTCTGGCATCCAGGCCACTGTCTACCCTTACACTGAGGAATTTGTGCTGCTTTTTTTAGTATTACTGCTTGAGCTTAAATTCGAAATGCTTCCTGAGGATCAGAGCACTGAAATCTAGATGCTTAGGACATTGTGCTCAGCTCTGAGCAAGCAAGCTCTCTCCTTGCAGGATGTGTCCAAGAAAAATGAACGCTCCCCTGTGAACGAAGTGCACTTGGTGGTCATGAGGCTGCTGAGTGTCTTCATGTCCAGAACTAAGTCAGGATCCAAGTCTTCCATTTGTGAGGTACATTCTTCAAATTGCTTTGTTCGGGGTGTGTGTGTGTGATGTGGTTGGAGGGCTTTTGTTCATCAAAGATGGTCAAAAAGCTGCTAACTGAAGTAGCTGAAAAACAGAAGTGCTTTGGAAAAATTTGAGGGATATGTGATGTTCCCTGAGTCTGGTGGAAAAAGGTCTGTGCTGAGACTCAGAATGGAGGAAACCAACATCTAAAGACAACTGGATTCACTTGTTTTGTGCACAGCTTTTGACTGAGCTGAGGGCAGTACATTAATGATGTTTAAAACAGTCTAGTAGCTTTTTATTCCCTTGCATCTTAGTGGTGCTGAGGGGGTTAAAGAGGATTTGTAATGTGATTATTGGAAAGCAATGTGCTGCTGTGTCAACGTAAAAGTCGCTAAGAGGATTCCTTAGATATTTGTTGCTAAAAGGTACAGTAATAAGGCATAAAAAGCAGTATGTGTGGTGGGAAGGAGATTAATAAAAAAGCATAGAGGTTAAAAAATTTAGTCTGAACTGCATCAAATTTTAATGAGCTTATGAGCTGTGGGGTTTGTTTGGATTTACAGGGCTGCTTTAATAGTTTTATTTACAGTAGCTTTTTCTCCAGCCTTTGTTATTCACTTGAGCTTCCCACAGAAATCAAAGCTCATGGTCTTGCAGAATGCAGGTGGAGCAATACCTGGGTGGAGCAGAGCCTCTGAGAGGCAGCTGCAACAGGGACTCTTTCTCTACCAGAATTCACGCCCAGCTGGCCAAATCCCAGATAAACAAATAGAAATCCCAACTTTTTTTTTTTTTAAAAAAGGAAAAGATAGGGGGGGGGAAAAAAAGAAGGAAAAAAGCCCTAGTCGTCTAATCCACAGCAGAGTGGCCTCTGGCACATGTGTCGAGGGGAGATTAGACTTAAGAGGAGATTTTATTTGTTTTCCTTTACTAAGCGCTTGTTCAAAAGAGTCTCTGTAAATATTTGAGTTGCTTTTCATAAACAGAAGAAACCAAAAAACCCCAACCTCAAACAAACCCCAAACTTAAAAGCTGCCTGTAAAGTTTCATAAAAAAAAACCTGCTCCCTTTATCCATAGTGTCAGCAACTGCTGCCTGATTCTCTCAGCTTCCCCTGCTCTTCGCCGTGGTGGTTCTCAGCTGCTTTAGTCATCCATCTCCTCCTTCTTTCAGGCTTCCTCCCTCATCTCCAGTGCCACTGCTGCTGCCTTGTTGAGCTCTGGAGCTGTTGACTACTGTCTGCATGTGCTGAAGTCTTTGCTGGAGTACTGGAAAAGCCAGCAGAATGATGAGGAGCCTGTAGCCACCAGCCAGCTCCTGAAACCTCACACGACTTCCTCACCACCTGACATGAGCCCTTTTTTCCTCCGCCAGTATGTGAAGGTGAGCCCTGTGTTAGCTTTGTGACCTGCATTAAAAGGTTGCTGACAGAAAGCAGGTGAAAAAGCATCCTTGCAGAACTGGTTTTGCCTTAGTAGTGGAATCAAAATTCATTCTCTTGGTACACAGTTACAGCTGGGATTGCTCTGAGTTCTCTGAGCAGCTCAGCTTGCTGTACCCATCTAGGCCACCCCTAAAACCACTGTGCCCACTCCTAAACCAGGCTGTTTGTGGAGCTGCTGTCACTGTTTCTGGTTGAAGTGTTAATCTCCCTGAAGGGAACTTGCTCCAGAGCCTGACCTTTTGCTTGGCAAGCAGAATTTCTGAGCCACTGCTACTTAATGTGGCAAGGGAGCTGAGCAGTTGGTGGGAGTTTCCCCACTAAATCCTGGACTTGGTCAACTCCCATGGTGCCTTTATGCTAAGATGCTGCTGGGGGTGGGGAGGTCTTTGATCTGTGTGCAGGTGCAATGAAAAAAGCTTAGTTAAAGGTAAGAATGTCTCCTAAGTTGAAATTTCATATGTTAAAATCCCTCATTGCTACAGACTAGTTTACTGCATCCTAGTAGTTGCCATCTAGAATCATAGAATCATTAAGGTTGGAAAAGACCTCCAAGGTCAAGTCCAACCACCAAACCAACGCTCCCATGACCACTAAAACATATCCTCAGGTGCCACATCCACATGGTTTTTGAACCCCTCCAGTGCTGGGGACTCCAGCACCTCCCTGGGCAGCCTGGGCCAATCCCTCACAACTCTGCCAGGAAAGAAATTCTTCCTCATATCCAATCAAAACCTCTGGTGCAAGTTAAGCCCATTTCCTCTCATCACTAGTTAGGAAAAGAGACCCACCTCACCCCAGCCTCCTTTCAGGGAGCTGGAGAGAAGCTCTCAGGTAGTTGAGAGAGGTGCTTGGTTTTCTGTATCAGCTGGGAGCATTTCTTCTCCCTGCAGAGGTGCAGCAAAGCTTGGTTTTTAGAACATCAATGAATACACCCTGGAGCTTATTGTGCCACCACTCTGGGAGTGTTCAATCCCAGGGCCTGACTGATGGCTCTTCCTTTCAGGGTCATGCTGCAGATGTTTTTGAGGCCTACACCCAGCTCCTGACAGAGATGGTTCTGCGGCTGCCCTACCAGATCAAGAAGATTGCAGACACAAACTCCCGCATCCCACCTCCCATCTTTGATCACTCCTGGTTCTACTTTTTGTCTGAGGTAAGTGAGAACGTGATACACCTACAGATTTGAACAACAAAATTCCAGCCATGTTACATTTCATGGGAAGGAGCTTTTGCAGAACTGATCTCAGATCCTTCTCTGACTTTTAATCCCTCTTGAACGAAGGTGAACTGTTGGCCTTGTTTTATTCTTGTTGAACAAGAATCTATAGGAAAGCATACATGAAAAATAAGATTGCTGTTGTTTCCTGTAACGCTGTTTGCTGCCAGAAAACTGGAATAGGAGAAGCTCTCTGAAATGGTACAGTGTGACATGGTGCTCTGCTCTTGATACTTAACTTAGCCCTTAAAAAAGAAAACAATAAGATATTTGAGTATATCTTTGCAGTTCCTTTGGTTGTGTAGCTTTCTACTCGAGATAACAAGTTACCTTACATTTGCACAAGTATGGGGGAGGATTTTTTCACTAGCTTTTTATTGGAGGTCATAGATGACAAAAGAATGGCTTTGGAAGTGGTTTCACAGCTTGGGGGGCTGCAGTGTAGTTGCTGTGCAGCGTTTCTTCGTTGACTGAGTTGACAGTACCTCCAAGGTGGCAAATTCATGAATGCATCACCCATATCTTTTATTTTTTCCAAGAAAACCCATCATATTTGTGTTGGTGCAGGCTGCCTGCTGGTGAGTTCCCAGTGCTGATGTTGTAGGCTTTTCTTCCAGTACCTGATGATCCAGCAGACTCCCTTCGTGCGCCGCCAAGTCCGCAAGCTGCTGCTCTTCATCTGTGGCTCAAAGGACAAGTACAGGCAGCTCAGGGACCTCCACACACTGGACTCCCACGTCAGGGGGATCAAAAAGCTCCTGGAAGAACAGGGCATCTTCCTTCGTGCCAGCGTGGTCACAGCAAGTTCTGGCTCTGCCCTGCAGTATGACACCTTGATCAGCTTGGTAAGGGGACAAAAAGTGTCGCTGTCTGAGGAAAAAGTGTGTGTGGCATTTGTGTAAGGAGTCTGTAACAGGAGTTGTGCCCTGGTGTTTAATCCTGTCCCCTTGTGCCTTGCAGATGGAACATTTAAAGGCCTGTGCAGAGATTGCCACGCAGAGAACAGTCAACTGGCAGAAATTCTGCATTAAAGACGACTGTGAGTTCTTCTTGGAGAGTGTTTGAGGGGGTGATGCATGTGTGGTGGTTTGAATCCAGACTCCTCGGATGGGGAAGCTCAGCAGAGAAGAAGGGGGAGATGCAGCTGAGAGTTTTGAGTAGAACTAAACTGTTTCCAGTACTAATTACAGCAGTGCTCTAATTGCATCTGTTCGTTAGCTGAAGGATGTGGTGTGGTGTAATGGGTGCCTTACAGGAACCTCCTCTGGCTTGAGCTGCTGTTGCTCCAGCACCTCGTTTGGGATGAAACACATTACCTTGGTGTACCCAAATGTTATGCTTCTATAGTGTTAGGAGCAAGAAGGTTCTGTGAGTTTGTGGGATGGTCCTTGCCATACTCAAAGGTTTTTTTTGTTTCAGGGTGGATGTCTTTTGCTTGCTTTTTTTTTTTTAATTCAGGCTTCAAAGATTTTCTCCTTCTCTTGGCAGCGGTTCTCTATTTCCTCCTTCAAGTCAGCTTCCTGGTAGATGAAGGAGTGTCTCCAGTCCTCCTGCAGCTGCTGTCTTGTGCTCTGTGTGGCAGTAAAGTGCTATCTGTGACTTCATCCTCTGGATCATCGAGCACCTCTTCCACCTCTGCTCCTGCAGCATCAGGCTCTGGGCAGCCAGCAGCACAGAGCAAATCTTCCACGAAAAAAAGCAAGAAAGAAGAAAAGGAAAAGGAGCGAGAGGGTGAGCTGCAGCTGTGCCCTGTTCTGTGGTAGTTTTAGGGGTGAAATTTGCTCCTCTCAACCTTTCTTATTCCGTTTAGAGAGAGCTGCTTGCTTCTTGTAGCTGTAAACAACACTATTGTGACAGGGTCGTGGATCATGGCAGGGGCACTTGTAGACTATAGCAGCAATCAGGAGAGAGGAGCAGTTTTACCATATGTAGATTGGAGAGAGGCAGAGATGAAGCAGAGTGTTGTAAGAGCTGACAACACTGTAAGTGTTGGGGCTGAAATTAAGTGCTGATTATATCCCAAACCTACTGTGAGTATTTATTAACTAAGGCAGGCTTCAAGTTGTCTGATGGAAGGTACCTATTCTGGTGATGAAGTAGCTTCCACCTAACCTGCCTGTCCTGGGTTCTAGGAGGTTGAAATGCTCGTGGGGATTAGAAAAAGTGCTGGAGATGCACACCCAGTTAGCTCTGCTCTTCAGTGATTGTGTTCAGACTTGTTTCCTCCGTCAGGCTTGTGAGCTATGTTGGAGCCAGGGCTGCTGCTTAATGGATATCCAAAGTCCTGGGAAAGTAATTAAGCTTCCCTATAAAAGTCATGGGCATAAATTCTCTCTTGGCTTTTCTTCAAGGACTTGTTTTGGCTTTCTCTATCAGATGATTCTTTGTGAGTCTCTTCACTGCCCCATGGTTGAGCCTTTTTATCAGGATGTGTAGCTCATTTCTCACATCCTTACCAGCAGGTTCTCCAGCAGTTTTCTTCTGTGTTAGTCACGAGGTTCTATTTTTTGGAAAAAGAAAGGAACATTAAATTTACTTGTCACCTGAAACACAATAATTTGTCCTGTTATCCTCGGCCTGTGATCTTGTGAGGTGCTCCATTGCTGCCTTCTCAAATCTTTCTTCCACCACCTGCTGTCCCCTAGGTGAGAGTTCTGGCAGTCAGGAAGATCAGCTGTGCACAGCTCTGGTGAACCAGCTGAACAAGTTTGCTGATAAGGAGACCCTCATCCAGTTCCTGCGTTGCTTCTTGCTGGAGTCCAACTCATCCTCAGTGAGGTGGCAGGCCCACTGCCTCGCCCTCCACATCTACAGGTGAGCTGGAAAGGAGCCCTGGACCTGCCTCTCCTTTGCTTCTCAGCTTGGTTATGGAGAGCTCTGTCCATGCATAAGACTCCATCCTGGAGCCTCTCTCCTGAAGGGTCCTGCAGCTTGCAGATGATTGCATCCCCTTGAACTGTTCACACCATTTTGCAGGTAGAAGCTGTGACTTGGTCATTACTGATCAACTTGTCTGCAAGAAACATTTCTGTCTGCAGAATCTGATTTTTGACATTTGTGGGAGTAGGTATTTGTGGGCAAGTGAGTTCCTGAGGAAGAAGCAGAGTTAGAGAGGTGAAATGTGGGGAGTTATATAGGGAAAGGAATGCTTCAAGGTGCTGAACTCCTCCAGAGCTCTACTCAGTCGTTAAAAGAAATGAAATTAAAGCACCTTTCATTTCAGAGGATGCTGGAGAACAGCTGGTGGCAAGAAATGCTGAGATTTAACTCTGTCAACTCCAGCATATAGCAGGATGATAGATTCTGAGTTTGAGGTGTAGCATGTGTTCTCCTTTTGCATAAGCCTGTGTGCCACGCAGTCCGTATCACTGCCTTTACAAGCCTAATTGATACATAATCCATTCAACAGGAACTCTAACAAGTCTCAGCAGTAATTACTGCTGGATCTCATGTGGTCCATCTGGCCAGAACTTCCAGCCTATGGAAGAAAGGCTGCCCAGTTTGTAGACCTCCTGGGATACTTCTCTCTGAAAACACAGCAGACTGAGAAAAAGGTATGGTGTCCTTCTGAAAGGGAGGTGCAGCAGCTCAGGGCCTGCTGCTTCCTCTCAGTTTTCTTAGTGCTCGTTTATGATGCAGCCAGGACAAATTTTCTGTCAAAAAATTCTGGTGGAAATTCTGACTGTCAAAGATTCTGGTGGAAATCTTTTATGTTCCCAAAAGTTGAATGTTAAAAAAGGCAGGAGCCTTTAAAAAATGGGGGAACGTGTTTTAGTCTCTTGAGGTTTTTGGTGTTGTTTTTTGTGGAGGATGATACTGTTTTGGTGGGGTTTTTATTACTTAGAAGAAGAGTTCTTTCCCACAGAAAGCCTTTGTGTGAAAATACATTTATCTGCTAACTCTAATCTAGAGATTTATGATATTTCAGCTCCTAGAAATCTTTCATAACCACAACTTTTGAACAAAGGCAGTGGTAAGATGTCTTAGGGGACCAGTGGCTTGAGTACAAATAATTTAGATGCACTGATATTTGTATGTGTGTGTTTAAGAAGCTGGGAATGACTTACAAATTTGGCAGGCATTTGCAGTGATTGGCTGACAAATAGCACTGTCATTGTGGTAAAGATCTAATTTTAGGATCTATTATGTTCCTGATTAATGATTTACCCACATAAATTCCTGTGGGTGTAGTGTGTGCAACTTCTGGGGGACCTGGAGCAGCACAGGATGAGAAATCTTTGTCTTTGTAGCAATTTAAAAAAAAAAAATGGAGAGAAGACAGTGTTTTCCCAATTGTATTTCAGTTGAAGGAATACTCCCAAAAGGCCGTGGAGATCCTGCGGACTCAGAACCACATTCTTACCAACCACCCCAACTCCAACATTTACAAGTGAGTTATTTCTGACTTTGATCCATTTCACTAAAGAGCTTTTCAGCTGCGATCCACAGGGGAACAGACAATTCTTCTACTAAAATGGTAGTGGAGGAAGGACCCCTACTGAGATTGCATGCTTGCTGCAGCTGCTCTTGGCAGAGGAGCAGATTTCTTTCTGCCATCTGAGAAACGTGACGTTCTGTGTGCTGGCAGCAGTGGTTTGCTTTCATTTTCAGTAAGTGTTACAAAATCTTAGGGCCAGTTGGAGAATGAACAGTGAATGCCAAATGACCTGTGTTGGTGTTCTTCCCCTCACTGCAGCACACTGTCAGGGCTGGTGGAGTTTGATGGTTATTACCTGGAGAGTGATCCTTGCCTTGTTTGCAACAATCCGGAGGTGCCCTTCTGTGTAAGTAGCTGCTGTCATGGAATCATAGAATGGTTTGGGTTGGAAGGGACCTTAAAGATCATCTGGTTCCAAGCCCCTGCCACAGGCAGGGACACCTCCCACTAGAGCAGGTTGCTCCAAGTCCCATCCAGCCTGGTCTGGAACACCGGGAGAAGGACCACCCACAGCTTCCCTGGGCAACCTGTGCCAGCATCTCACCCCCCTGCTAGTGAAGAATTTCTTCCTAATTTCTAATCTAAATCTCCCCTCTTGCAGTTTGAAGCCATCACCCCTCGTCCTGTCACTGCAAGCCCTTGTAAAAAGTCCCTCTCCAGGTTTCTTGTAGTCCACCTTTAAGTATTGAAAGGCCACAATAAGGTCTTCCTAGAGCCTCCTCTTCTCCACTCTGAGGGACCCCAACTCTCTCAGCCTGCCCTCAAAGCAGAGGGGTTCCAGCCTTTGGATCATCTTTGTGGCCTTCTCTGGGCCTGCTCTAATAGATCTATGTCCCTCTTGTGTTGGGAGCTCTTGAGCTGGATGCAGTGCTCCAGGTATGGCCTCACAAGAGCAGAGTAGAGGGGGAAAATCACCTCCCTGTCCTTAAACCCTTTCCAGTTATAGGGATCCCAATGGTTTCAGCAGTGTGATTTGCTGTGTTTCTGACTCGGGGGATGTAATCATACAAGCAGTGCATCCTTGTTTTTGTCTTCTCAGTACATCAAGCTCTCCTCCATTAAAGTGGACACACGTTACACCACCACCCAGCAGGTTGTGAAGCTCATTGGCAGCCACACCATCAGCAAGGTGACAGTGAAGATAGGAGACCTGAAACGCACCAAAATGGTCCGAACCATCAACCTCTACTACAACAACAGGACAGTGCAAGCCATAGTGGAGCTGAAGAACAAGTATGTTTGTCTGTGGGTTTTGTGTCCTAGTCTCTGAATTGACATTACAATTTCTGCTGAGGTGCCTGGCTTCTTGTTTTAGCTAATGTTGCTTCTTAGACTATCACTTGTCACTCTCAGCCTGCGTTGGGTGGGATTGTTCTGAATCTCCTACAATAAATTGTTGAAGAGAGATGAATTTCACCCAGAGCTTGAAATACACCTGTAAAACTTCTGTATGCAAACTTTGTTCAGGCTGAGTTTTAAGCATCTATCCTAATGAAGTGGAAACCAGTGCTAATACCAAGAGCACCTCCTGGAGAGTTTAACTCAAAGGGATTTACACCTTGCATCATGTCCAGAAGTGCAGAAGGCATTAACACTACTGGTTTGAAGCTCTGTGGCCTAACTCTGGGCTGCTGCTTTACCTATGAAAAATGGCTCCTTTTCATTACACTGCTCAGTCTGGAGCCAGTGCTGCTTATATGCTTTCCCTTCTTACTTCTTGAGATGTTCTCACCAGAATCAGATCTCCTTGGTTTAGGGATTAATCTGTGCCTGCCGCTTATTGCTTATTTGAAGTCTTAATCCTCTGTGACATCACAAGTGGCTGCTGTGGAGAGGATTATGATGTCACAAAGAGAGGATTCTGACTTCAGGTTGAGAATAAGCAGTGGGAGCAGATGAGATCTTTAGAAATAAATATCCTGTTTTCATGCAAATGTCCTTACTAATAAAAAAATGGAGGTGAAAATCCCTAGAAAATGTCTGTAGAATTAAAGTTTTTCCATGAGGCATCAACAGCTCTTTAATCCTAAACAGTCTCTCTCTATGAAGAGGATAAAGGCTTAAAGTGTATTTCTGGCTACATATCATGTCAATACAGAAGCTAAGGCAACGAATCCTAGAACTGCTCTCCATTCATCCCCTCTAAAGTGGATTTGGAGCCGAGACGGTGGCGCTTGGCTCCAGTTTGGGGGTGGGCAGGGCGGGTGCTGCCCCCTGACACCCCGTGCCCCTCGCTCCCCTTCTCCCAGGCCGGCTCGTTGGCACAAGGCTAAGAAAGTCCAGCTGACCCCCGGGCAGACAGAGGTGAAGATTGATTTGCCCTTGCCCATCGTGGCTTCCAACCTGATGATTGAATTTGCTGATTTCTATGAGAACTACCAGGCTTCCACAGAGACCCTGCAGTGCCCCCGCTGCAGCGCCTCCGTCCCGGCCAACCCCGGCGTCTGCGGCAACTGCGGCGAGAACGTCTACCAGTGCCACAAGTGCAGGTATGTCCTCCTCCCTCCTCCTCCTCCTCCTCCTCCTCCCCCCCACGGAGCCAGCACCACGGTTATCTCAGAGCCCTCGTGCTCTTGCCCGTGTTGGATGTTCAACAGAATACCCCCCCCGTTGTTTAAATGCCCCGTCCTGGTTAATGCAGCGGCACGAGCAGATGAGTCGAGAAGTAGAAAACAGGCTTAGGGGGATTTCGTGTTAATGCAGGCTAACAAAGGGAGCCTGATGCAGCAATGCTGGAAGAGCACAGAAGTTTCAGATCAAGCCCACTGAAGTTTAAAAAGGACTGTTGCCAGGAGGAGGCTCTTTTTGGCTTGCCTGTTGAAGGGTGTGAGGCTGGAGTTCAGTTATCCGATGGGTCCGTAGCGTGCAGCACACAGTGCTCACTTGTCTGCTCAGAGCTTTTGTTGCACTCCTCATTCAGAGCAGGGCTCAGGGTGTAATTTACTGTGTGCAATTCAAGCTTTCACTACAGCGTTATAAATCCTTCTCTTTTATGAGCTTTGTCTCCTTATCTGATATCTCTTCTCCCCTTATTGTTGTCCTCTATTGTTGTCCTCTTGGGATTCAAGATGTTCAGCAGATTCTTCCCACAGATCAGGTGGGAATATACTGCTGGTATATTGGAAAGGTTTCCACATCCCTTCTAGAATGATGGGAGCTGTAAATCAGTTTGTGTCGTGCTACTCTACTCTGCAGCAGGATAATAAATACACTGTAGCTGGTCTCACTGCAACTGGGGAAAGAGACAAAGCTATTGAAAATGTAGACCTTAGAGAAGAAAATGTTTCCTTTTATCTGTGCTCTTGTAAAGGGCACAGTGCCCTAGTCTGACATTCTACTGGGAATTACTGTAGCTAAAGTGGAATTGTTAGGACCAAATTCACATCTGTTTCTGCTCTTTCTGGCCAGAATGTGGCACTGCTTCTCTAAGGACTTTTTTGGTTGCCTGATTTTAGGGTTTGATTCTTATGTACCATCATATATTTCATTTGTGGCTTCCCCAGGGCGGTTTGGTGGGTTAGGTGGTTTAAGGTTATCCTTCTCCTTTCCCTCCTGAGCCCCTCCACAGCCTCAGTTACCTCACTGAAGCTCAGCTGCATTCTTTGTCCTTTCTGGCTTGCCTTTCAGATCCATTAATTATGATGAGAAAGACCCTTTCCTCTGCAATGCCTGTGGGTTCTGTAAGTACGCCCGCTTTGACTTCATGCTGTATGCCAAGCCTTGCTGTGCAGTGGATCCCATAGAAAATGAAGAGGATAGGAAGAAGGTGAGGCTAACAGCACATTCATGACTCAAATGCTGCAGCTCTTGGCCAGGTCAGCAGTGTTAGGGACATTGGAGGTCCATCCCTCTTGGGAGTAATGTGAAAAGCAGTGCTCCTTCAGAGCTTTACACTGAGTAATGCATTCCTTGTTTACTGTCTCACTCCACCAAATACATAATTCTTCAAAAGATATGACTCAGTGCTTTACAAAAGAGACATAAGACTTGGAGGTTGGTGGCTGTAGAAGAAAATATGGCTTCTGAACATGAAATCAAAGTTTCTGTTCCTTTTTTTATTTTTAGGCAGTAACAAATATCAACACTCTCCTGGACAAGGCTGACAGAGTGTATCACCAGCTAATGGGACACCGACCACAGCTGGAAAACCTTCTGTGTAAAGTGAATGAGGCAGCTCCTGAAAAGCCCCAGGTAGCAACAGGCAGATGGGTCCTGCCCAGAACCCCAGGCTGGGCAGACACTCACCTTTATGCTGCCAAAAGCAGCTAAAGGTCCTTGCCTCAGATGCCAGTCTGCAGTAGTTATTTTTGTGTATAGCCTCCATATATGACTCCTAATTGTTTTCCACTCTCTTCCAGGATGAATCTGGCAGCAGTGGAGGGATCAGTTCTACCTCAGCTAGTGTGAATAGATACATCCTCCAGTTAGCCCAGGAGTATTGTGGTGACTGCAAGAACTCTTTCGATGAACTTTCCAAAATCATCCAGGTATGAAGTGCTTTGATTTGAATTTGGGTCACGTGTTTGATACAAGGCATATCAGACACAGAAAGTTAAGATGTTGCCATTCTGTGTTTAATGATATCATTATCAATAGGTGTTCCACTGCATATTTTCAGGGAAAAAACAAAATTGGAATTTCTAAAAGCTATGTTTACCATTAATGCTGTGGATTTGTCCTGTTTCCAGTGTTACATTGCAGGTAATGTAGACAGCAAGCCCTTGAACAGGGCAGGTAGCTGGGAGGTAGGCTGATACCTCTAATGGATTTCCCAATCCTGCCATTGACATGAAGGATTCCAGGTTTTCAGATACTTGGTTAAAAATGTTTCTCTAGAAAACACCCAGTAAAAATGAAAAAAAAAGTCCCCCAGTGAATGGGATTAGCAGTATCAACTCCACAACTTTGATTTCTCCTTTTCTGTCTTCCCAGAAAGTGTTTGCCTCTCGAAAGGAACTCCTGGAATACGATCTCCAGCAGAGAGAGGCAGCAACAAAGTCCTCGCGAACCACCGCCCAGCCCACGTTCACTGCCAGCCAGTACCGTGCCTTGTCCGTGCTGGGCTGTGGCCACACGTCCTCCACTAAATGCTATGGCTGTGCCTCAGCTGTCACTGAGCACTGCATAACACTGCTCCGGGCTCTGGCCACCAACTCTGCCATCAGGCACATCCTGGTGTCCCAGGGGCTCATCCGAGAGCTCTTTGACTACAACCTGCGGCGGGGCGCGGCCGCCATGCGGGAGGAGGTCCGGCAGCTCATGTGCCTTCTGACCAGGTGAGTTCTCTCTCTGTGCCCACAGCCCTTGGGCTTCCCAGGAAATCTGGAGAGCCACGTGCTTGGAAATGCACAGGCAGAAAGGAGTAGGAACGATATCTTGCATCAGCAAACTGTAGGCTGTGACCGCTTGTACGCTTGTCACCAGCTTGGCTGAGATCCTGGGAGCTTCTGGTGTTTTGTACAAGCACAGCATAACAGTGTTCTCTTTTTCCTTCTGGAATTAGGGACAATCCAGAGGCCACGCAGCAAATGAATGACTTAATCATTGGGAAGGTTTCTGCAGCTCTGAAGGGACACTGGGCAAATCCAGACTTGGTGAGAGACTCCAGTGTTTTCCTCTTCCCCTCTGCAACTGCTGATGTCTTCTAATCATCACCTCTTCCCTATTGCCATGGTCTGTTTGTAATACAGAAAGTGTTTGTGTCTTGATAGGAATTAAGATAAATGTTAAAGCACAAAATGATGTGACTAGGTATATGCCAACATTTCCTCAGGCAGCTCTGTCTTGGCTGTTGCTTGTAACTCACTCACATAGGTTGCCAGTTGTCCCAAATGGGCATGGCATTAAATTTACTTAGATGGATATGTTTTGATATGTTTTTTAACTATTCAGAAGGCAAGAAGGACTGCTGTGTCACCAACACTTCCCAAGCCTTTGACCATGTGTCTGTGTTACAGGCCAGCAGCCTCCAGTATGAGATGTTGCTGCTGACAGATTCCATCTCGAGGGAGGACAGCTGCTGGGAGCTCCGCCTGCGCTGTGGTGAGTTCAGGCAGCTCGTGTCAAAGCTTTAGCTGAAAATGCTCTGCCCAGGTCCTTGCACTATGTAGTAAAATTTTAAGGAAGGGAACTGATGCTAGCTCGGTTTGTGATTAGGATTAAAGTGGAGTTAGCTTTGTTTTGGGCTAGTGCATTTCTTGGAACAGTGCTGAGGAACAAAGTCAGAGGGGTGAAGGGAAGGCTGGCAGCACCCTCCTGCTGTAATAGGAGGTACTTGTTTTCCATCCATGGCTGCATGAGAACGTGATAGTTTTGAGGATATGAGATGTTACTTAACTCTAAAATGCTTCTAAAGTGCTGAATAAGAGCTGTGGACGTGTCCTATCTGCAGATCTGACAGTGGAATGAGATTTTACATCTGTCTTTCAGCCCTCAGCCTCTTTCTGATGGCAGTGAACATTAAGACTCCAGTGGTTGTTGAGAACATCACCCTCATGTGCCTGCGCATTCTTCAAAAGCTGATCAAACCACCTGCTCCAACCAGCAAGAAAAACAAGGTACTGCCTTAGATGCTGAGCAAAGCATCTGAAAATTTGCTGATTAAAGTCTGGCACGCTGTTCTCAGTGATTAATAACCTTGTGAGGAAGCCAGAGCTTGCATTTCCTTGTCACAAGTCCTGTGACTCTTGTCTTTGCAGACTGGAAATCACAGGTGACTGCTTTCCATTTTTTTTTACTGTTCTTTGGTGGCTTTGACCACCACTATTCAAAACAGGAGTTTGGTGGTTTTTTTTCCCTACTCAGATTTAAAGCATGGAGCAAGGTTCTTGAAAGCTGCAGCTTGGTTATTTTGGGCAGTACTTAAAAGTAGTACTAAAAAGTACCTAAACATGGTGGAATCAAATTGGAATCATATTTTTAAATACAGAGCTACAGTTGTGATAAAAATTATACTGATTAGCTGCCCCTCAATTGTAATTTAGGATGACATTTGCCAGGGAGAAGGTGTGTTTCTGCTTTGGTCTGGCTATCTGATATCAGTTGGATGTCAAAGGTGGATTTACTGATGATATTTCAGTAGTAACTGGAATGAGGCATCTCTTAGTCCATCATTAACAGAAATCCTGCTCCTGTCCAGGAGCTGCACTTACCTCTTCCTGGAGCCCACACAACCAGTGATTCACTCACAAGAGTTACTTTTAAGGGAACAGGCTGCAGCTTTCTGAGGAATCACAGAGCTTTTATGTTTTATTAGGATGTGCCTGTGGATGCTCTCACCACTGTGAAGCCTTACAGCAATGAAATCCATGCACAAGCTCAGCTGTGGCTCAAGAGGGACCCCAAAGCATCGTATGAAGCTTGGAAAAAGTGCCTCCCTGCCAGAGGTAGCCCTGTGCTTTTAACTCTGTGAAGGAATGTCTATGTCCCTAGAGGTTTAATAAGGAATGTGCTTCTCTGGGGTTGTGTTGGCTTCTGTCCTGTGACATCTTCACATTTAGCTGTGTAGTCCTTGCAGATTGTAGCACTGATTTTTCTAGGCCGTGTTGCTCAAACCCTGAGCAGAAAATTCACTGCCACTGAAGATAATATGGGGAATGTAAAAAAAAATAACACTTGATTCTTATGTGAAATGGTATTAGACAACTGAAAAGCTGATTGAATTCTCTGAGAGGCTGTGGGATTTCCATCTGGCTTGAAAGAGAACATAGCTCCATGCAGAAGTGAAAATGGCAGCAGATAGAAATAAAAAGCTACTTGGCTTCTCAGCTGGAGTTTGGAGAGTTCCAACATATGAAGAGAAAAATAAAATGGCACTTTGCAGTTAATAGCTGCTGACAGTTCTGAGCTGTGTTCAATACTGCAGGTATAGAAGCCAATGGGAAATCTCCCAGCAAAGCTGAGCTCCACCAGCTCTACTTGTCAGAAAAATACGTCTGGAAGTGGAAACAGTTCATGAGTCGCCGTGGGAAGAGAACTTGTCCTCTGGACCTCAAGCTGGGGCACAACAACTGGCTACGACAGGTACCTGTGGCTGAAAGCTCCAGTGGGATGCACTGGGCAGAGCTGGCAGATTATTGGGAGTTTGCCACATTTTATGCACTTTGCAGATAACACGAGCAGTGATCTTTGGGGAGACTCACTGACTGCATCTAACGCCAAGTCAGGAATTGCCTTAAAAATACTGCATCTAAACTTTTCTCCAGTAGTTTGCATCTCTTCAACTGATCTCTTTCATTGCCATGGTGCTTCTACCTCTCCTCTTAGCTGCATTTTGACCAGTGAATTTTCACAGGTCCTGGGCAAAAGTTTTTGTTCTGTGTGTGGGTTAGAATGTCACCTGCACAGTGTGTGGTTTAGAGGTTTTGGTGGCGAGCGAAATAGGAATTCACAGAGTCAGCTCGTTGGAGGCACCACAGAACACTGCCAGCAGATCACTGAGCTGTCCCAACGTGTCCCAAAATATCCCTGGTGTGTCTGTGCACATCAAACAACTGTCTGTTACTGCTCTGGCCTTAGGTGCTGTTCACTCCTGCCACTCAAGCTGCACGCCAGGCTGCCTGTACCATCGTGGAGGCTCTGGCCACCATCCCCAGCCGCAAGCAGCAGGTCCTTGATCTCCTGACAAGGTATTTCCATGTTGCCACACTTGGCAGCTCCAGGATTCTTTTTCTCTTAATTCCCATGAGAATCTCTCCCTTCTTCCAGCTTTTCTCACACTGCTCCTTTTTATACCTCTGGTTCTCAGGTCTTTTCGGGCTGGATTTTAAAACTTAATTAGCTGGGCTGGTATGGATTTAGGGAGACCTTTTTTTACTGCCTGGCAGTAAACTATTGCAGTTCTGTACTTTTCCCAGAAGTTAGTAGGTGGTGTTGAGCTGTGTGGACATTTCCTCTGCTTTTTAGACAGCAAAATAATCAGCTGAACTCTCTTCCAGCATAACTTGGCCCCATTGATGCTCATAGCAGAGTTGGGGAACTTCTTTTTGGGGACAAAACACTGCTTCAGCCATTGAGTAATACATAGCAGTTATGATGTTAGCTAGGAGGACAACAGGGAGCACAGGTTTCTGGAGGTTTTTCTTTCTTTACATGATGTCTTTAAGCTGTGAATACCTCTAGTTTCTGTGGAGCAGTTGTCAGCTTGTGTTTCTCTTCACTAGCTACCTGGATGAGCTGAGCATTGCTGGCGAGTGTGCTGCTGAGTACCTGGCACTGTACCAGAAACTCATCAAGCCAGCCCACTGGAAGGTCTACCTGGCAGCCCGAGGGGTTCTGCCCTATATTGGCAGCCTCATCACTAAGGTATGGACATGTATGGAGGAACTGAGGAGCAACAAAAAGCTTGTCCCTGACCCAGCAAAGCTTTCTTGCTTTGAAATCCTCATCTCTTCATTCAGCACCCTGTTGCTGACTCTTGCCAGGCTTGTGTTAGCACTAGTCTGGCCCATACCAGGGCAGGGATTGACCCCTGTACTGGGCACTGGGAAGGCCACCCCTCAAATCCTGGGTTCAGTTTTGGGCCCCTCACTTCAAGAAGGACCTTGAGGGGCTGGAAAGTGGCTAGAAAAGGGCAACAAAGCTGGGGAAGGGTCTAGAGCCCAAGTGTGGGGAGGAGCAGCTGAGGGAGCTGGGGGTGCTGAGCCTGGAGCAAAGGAGGCTCAGGGGAGACATTCTGGCTCTGCAGAGCTCCTGACAGGAGCCTGGAGCCAGGGGGGGGTCGGGCTCTGCTCCCAAGGGACAATCAATACAACAAGAGCAAACAGCCTCAATTTGCACTAGGGGAAGTTTAAGTTGGACACGAGGAGAAATGTCTTCCCTCAGGGGGTTGTCCAGAGCTGTGCCAGGCTTCCCAGGGCAGTGGTGGAGTCCCCACCCCTGGAGGGGTTTCCAGGCTGTGGAGATGTGGTGCTGAGGGATGTGGTTTGGTGGTCACCTGGCAGTGCTGAGTTAATGGTTGGTCTCCATGATCTTAAAGGTCTCTTCCAACCAGAATGACTCTGTGAAGTTCATACTTCTGTGCTGTCATCTCTGCACAGAAAGAGCTACAGTGTGTTGAGCCCCATCTGTAGCATCCCTCAGCACAAACTGCCTGGTGCACGTGAATCAGCTGCTGGGGGGGCAGCTATGCTCAGGGGTATAAATATTGCTACACTGACTTGGCACCAGGTCCAAGCTGGAAGCTGTCTCTTAGCAGCCAGGCTGGACTCCAGGAGCCCTTGATGACAAGGCAGGATTAGGTCTGATGCCATTCCTTGAGTGTGAATTTGAGCCTGTTGGAGAAGCCCCACGTTTAAGCTTCAGGGTGTTACGTCTTGGGAGTTTTTGGTGGTGATCCTGGTGCACTCCAAAGAGGCATTTGATGCCTTCCCCACTAATGGTAGCCTTGAGTCCATCCTGGAAGGCCACCAGAGCCAAGGAGTGGTCATAGGTAGGTGTAGGGAGCAAAGAAGGGGTAGTTTGGGGTAGTTCTTCTCTTCTCTCCCCCTTCCCTCCCTCCTGCTGCGTTGCAGTTCTGGTTTCTCTGTGGCTGGCTCTGGTCCTTGCTCTGTTCCTTTGTAACCCATCTTAGACACTTGGCAGCCAGGCATTATTGGCAGTGCAGTTTCTTGTCCTAATGGGCTTGTTAATTATTTTCAGGAAATAGCTCGTTTGCTTGCCTTGGAAGAAGCAACCCTCAGCACTGATTTGCAGCAGGGATATGCCTTGAAGAGCCTCACAGGTACTCGGTGGCATCAGGGCAAGTCCTGTAGTGGGATCAGAGATGGGGTGATGGATGTTTCCTCTCTCAGCACATAGCAGAATTTCAAAGAGATGGGATTCAGTGTTTTGAAGTTGTCAGCACTGGTTTTTCACCATCAATTTAGCACTGAACCCCTCATTTAATTTTTTCCATGTTTTTTGTGGTCTGTGTTTTCAGTTACTTGAACTTCAGTAACATATCATGAGCAAAATTTGTCACATCATTTTTCTTAATTACATTTATTGTACAGTATAATTCCTGGGGCCATTGCAAACACTGCTGATTTATTCCTACCTGTTGTTCCTTCCTCTAGGGTACCTTTTCTTTGTTGAATCTTCTAGGGTATGTGGTTTTGAAAAGCGTGGTGGGAATGGAAGTACACCATTGCTAGGTCATTCTTTTCTATATCCTCTTATATAGGCTTCAAAAATTCCTAAAGTCTGGCTTCTTGATGTTGATAAATATGTCATGGGAAAGAATCTGAGTGTTCACTGATTCTCTACTTTATTATAGGAGTAACTGATACATCACATACCCCACTTGCTGTCACATCATCAGAGCTAGCTTAAATATTAAGAAGAGGAACAGTCATCTGCTTTTGAAATATTTTGTGATAGAAAAGGGTCCAAAAGTGCAGAAGTTTGTATCAAGCACTTTAAAAGCTCCTGACACCCTTTCCTCCCTCAGTGTTGTCCCACATGGTGCAATTCACACGGCAGCTCTCCCAGACCAGGGATTTCCCTCCAACCATTCACTTCATAGAAATGAACTTTGAGCCACAGCCTGATCTTGTACCCTGTTTGCTGGGCACATGAAAGGTAGAGCTCTCAAATCAAACTCTCTCTTCAGCTTCCTGAACATCTGATTGCTTTGTAGGTCTCCTCTCCTCCTTCGTGGAGGTGGAGTCCATCAAGCGGCACTTCAAGAGCCGCCTGGTGGGTACAGTCCTGAACGGGTACCTGTGCCTGAGGAAGCTGGTGGTACAGAGAACAAAGCTGATTGATGAGACCCAGGACATGCTGCTGGAGATGCTGGAGGACATGACAACAGGTAAAACCACCTCGGTTCCATAAATCCACAGTCTGGGTCAAGCCAGATGACAAAGCAGAGAGTTACAGCCACACAGAGAACTTCTGTCTCAAAGATTGCTGTACTGGGGGATTTTTTTTATGGCTTGGACCTTCCAATATTTCCTTTTGGCACAGAAAAGGTAAATAACATTCCTGGGGTTGTCTCTTGTTTTGCAGGAATTTAAACCTCTTCCTTTTTATGGGACTGTTTTACTGCAGCCCAAGCAGGCGAAGAGTTTTCCTAGTAAACATACTAATAAATAACACTCTTTACATGACCTTTTCATTTCTTAAGTGGTGAATATGCAAAGCAAAGGGCACCAAAGTATGGATTTATTGTGTGTGCTGAGTTAAAATGAAACCTTGAAAACTGACTCCTGTGTTTTTTCTCTCTTCTGTCTCTTGGCAGGCACAGAATCTGAAACCAAAGCATTTATGGCAGTGTGCATAGAGACTGCAAAACGCTACAGCCTGGATGACTACAGGACCCCAGTCTTCATCTTTGAGAGACTCTGCAGTATTATCTATCCTGTAAGTACTCAGATGGCAGCATTGCTTGTGAAATTAGGCTTCCTAGATAGGTACAGTGGCTTGTATTTTGGCAATAAAACACATTAGTGTCTACAGTAATAGTCCCCAGATGATGCTACAGGCTGGGGGAAGAGTGTCTGGAAAGCTGCCTGGCAGAAAAGGCCCTGGGGGGGCTGGGGGGCAGCTGGCTGAACATGAACCAGTGTGTGCCCAGGTGGCCAAGGCCAACAACCTCCTGGCCTGGATAAAAAAAGGGGTATGCAGCAGGAGCAGGGCAGGGATCGTGCCCCTGGACTCAGCACTGGGGAGGCCACAGCTTGAGCACTGGGGTCAGTTTTGGGCTCCACACGATGAGAAAGACCTTGAGGGGCTGGAGTGGGTCCAGAGAAGGGCAACGAAGCTGGGGAGGGGTCTGGGGAACATGGCTGGTGAGGAGCAGCTGAGGGACCTGGGGTTGGTTAGTCTGGAGAAGAGGAGGCTGAGGGGAGACCTTCTGGCTCTCTACAGCTCCCTGAGAGGAGGTTGGAGTGAGGTGGGGTTTTGGTCTCTTCTACTAAGTAACCAGTGATAGGACAAGGGGAAATGGGTTTTGGTTGCACCAGAGGAAGTTTTGGTTGGATATTAGAATTTCTTTCCTGGCAGAGTGGTGAGGTGTTGGCCCAGGCTGCCCAGGGAGGTGCTGGAGTCCCCAGCCCTGGAGGGGTTCAAAAAACACATAGACTTGGTACTTCAGGACATGGTTTAGTGGTCATGTTAGTGTTGGGTTGATGGTTGGACTTGATGATCTTAGAGGCCTTTTCCAACCTTCATGATTCTGTGAATATTGATTTAATTTTGGCCAGTGGAGTAGTATGGTGTCCCATTTTGGGGGTTTGGTACCCAGGTCCCTGCTGTGGCACACTGGCACCCCTCTGAACACCACGTGTGTGGCACCTTATGGCAGGATACACGAGTGCTGGCAGGACTGAAGGGCTATGGACCTCCTGTCACTTGCCATCCTAAAAATACAGGGATGAGAACATGGTTAGGGGAAAGCTTAACTCACTTTGCCTCTGCTGCTGTTGTTTAGGAAGAGAATGAAGTGACAGAGTTCTTTGTAACTCTGGAGAAAGATCCCCAGCAGGAAGACTTCTTACAGGGCAGGATGCCAGGAAATCCCTACAGCAGTAACGAGCCTGGCATTGGGCCACTCATGAGGGACATCAAGAACAAGATCTGTCAGGACTGTGACCTGGTGGCTCTGCTGGAGGATGACAGTGGAATGGAGGTGAGGCTGCACACGTGTGGATTTCCTGCATGGATGTGTTGGGGACACCATTTCCAGGCAGCTGCTGATTGCTAGAATGCTGATGCAATGTGAGCTTGTTCTTGACCTTTTATTTTCTCCCTTTCAGCTTTTGGTGAACAATAAGATCATCAGTTTGGATCTGCCTGTGGCTGAGGTCTACAAGAAGGTGTGGTGTCCCACTAATGAGGTGTGTGTTACCTTCTGAGATGTTAACAGCACAAAGCACCTCTCCTTTATTAATTAAAATAGCACCCAAGTCAGGATTTATTTGTTGGCATATAATTGCTCAGCACCTTCTTGTGCTCTCTTAGGATAGACAGTTACTCAATTCTGTGACCTAAATGATTTAAAGGCACATAATGCTGACCCAGGTGAGTGTATTGAACTTACTCATGTAGTTACCAGATAGGTGAACTTGTCTCCTTGAGTAACAGACTTCCTTACATGGCTTTGGGGAAAGAGCTGAACTCTGTGTCACTGCCTTTCAAAGCACATTTCACACTCCATCTGCATGTGACAGTTTAATGCAAGTCTACAGACAGGGACACCAGATTGCTCCATCAATCTGCACTTCAGAGATGAACCCCTGTTATTTATGCAGTGAGAGCTTCCAACATTTCTCCACATTACTTTGCACTTCTGCTCTCTTGCTTTTCATGTAGGGGTCTCGAGAACCTGAACTTGAGACAGAATTCTTCCTCCCAGTTTGCTGTTAGCAATGTGCATTGCTGGTTTTTTAGATGAAGAAATGAATCCAACAGTCTTAAAGGGATGAGTTCACCATGTCACAGTAAGGTCCAGAGGTGGATGTGGTCCAGAACAAGCTCTTCCTTTTCTTGTGGCCACTAAAACTCCCATTAAGAAGAAACCCATCAGGCTAAATCATGCCTATAACAAATATATTCTTCAGTGGCACTGCAAGTAGCACTTGACATCATAAAATAAGACTGATTTGCCCAGCATTTTGTGTCCATTTCTCATTTACTCTTGAATTGCAGTCACCTTTGACTGAAACCCTGATTTCCTGAAGCCATTTGTTTGCTGTGCTTGTGGGGAAGAATTCACACAAAACACATTTTCAGCATCTTACCATATGGGGAGTGGTTGTCATCAAGCTTTATTTAAGTAAAAAAGCTCTTCTGTACTGCAAAATCAAACTCAAACTGGTTGACAGGGATAATTTTTGAGTAAGGTGCCAACCTGGGTAGGGGGAGTGAGGTGCTGGTGTTAATCTGTGAATTCTGACTTGAGCTCTGCACAGGTTCCTGAGGGAGATGTCGGTGGGAGCTGCTGCTCCTGGGAGATGCTGAGCTGTAGCCAGTGTGCAGCTCTCCCAGGCTGCAGTGCTGGTGGTGAAAGGCAGAGTTTGCTCAGTTCCTGTCCATGAAGAGCTCTCATTCCATCTGCCTGCCTTTGTCTGCACCTCCTCCAAGCACTTCTGGAGCCTCAGCTCCCGAGCTCACGTTCCCTAGGAAATAGACAGGCGCACAAGAACGCAACCTCAGGCCCCTTTTTGTTTCCCTTGTCTCTCACTGGCTTTTTTTGTTCATCTGCCATTTTACCAGGGCCCCTGTGGTGTTAATTGCTGGTCTCTAGCGTGGCCTTTGAGCAGATCTTCCCCCCGGGGCTTTCCCTGTGCTTATGTATTTGCTGTGACATTAAGCACTGCTTATTCCACATTAGGCTTAGCGCTCTCTCTGACAGGTTTTCTCTCACAAGGTCTCCTGCTCCCAAATCTGGGATTTTTCTTTTCTGCTTTTTATTCAGAGCCATGGATTAAAATGGAAAGTTTAGTGATATGCTGTCAGGATTTCCAGCTGGAAATATGTGTGGAAAACAGGCCCTTTCCCAGGGTAAAACACAACTTGTGCTTCAGTGGGTTTGGCTGCATCGTTTTTAGTCCTACTGAAAGCTCATTAAATTGCCTTTTACTCCTCCTTTTCCATTTTCCATCACTGCAGATCTTATCTGTTTGAAAGCACTCATCCAGTTAACATCTGCTTCTTCTCCAGGGCTGTGCCTGGTCCCTGTATTTCCCAGGTACTCTGGGGCAGTGCCCTGGGAGGGGAAGGTCACAGTGGAAAGCGGGTGGTTATAGATGGACACATTTTGCTTGGCTAGATCTTTCACTGGTGCTAAAGGAAACTGTTGGAGGGAGATGTAAGGAGGAAGAGATTGTTTATTACCACTCTGCCCATCTAGCTGGCATTGCTGGGAAAAGCTGGACAGACCAATAGATGAGTTATTGATGTTTTTGCAGGGTGGTGGCTTTACTGTTGGTTTGAAGCCATCTCAGTAAGGGGAGGACGAGGGAGTGAAGGATTTCCCTGTGTTACCATTTGCAGTCCAACCAGCACAAAGAGCTGAGGCTGGAGTGTCTGAGACATGCTGTAAGGAGAGCTGGACTCCTCTCTGAGTGTCACAGAGGTGGGGTTAACACAAGACTCTGCTCTCTTGCAGGGGGAGCCGATGAGGATCATTTACCGCATGCGAGGGTTACTAGGAGATGCCACTGAGGAATTCATCGAGTCTCTCGACTCCACTACTGGTAATGCATTTGTCTCCTGAAAGCTGGGATTAGATTTGAAATCTTGAGGTTTGCTGCAGAGCAGTGACACTCTTATCCTTGCAGCAGTGAGCTTAAAGTTGACTGACGTTGCTTTTGCTCCGTTTACCTGCTCCACCTAGAGTGGAGGAGGATTTTAACAGCCCTTGAAGTTTATACTTTAAATGTGAACATTTGCATGACACAAGGACCATTCTGCCTGGCCCTTCTTCATATTCCTGCTCCTAATTCTTTCCAAATTTGATGCAGTTGGAGTGACTTGAACTGGTGGTAAATGTACCCTACTGTACTCTCCATTTCTGCTTCACTGCTTTGTCCCCTGTGGGCTGCACAAACTTTGTCATATTGTAGCTGCTTCCTCTCTTCATAATCTGTGTTTGTCGTGTAGATGAAGAGGAAGATGAGGAAGAAGTTTACAAGATGGCAGGTGTCATGGCCCAGTGTGGAGGCTTGGAGTGCATGCTCAACAGACTGACTGGAATCAAGGACTTCAAGCAAGGCCGGCACCTCCTCACTGTGAGTCTCAGCTTCTGCTTCTGCTCTGTGGGGTCAGGAATTACATGCTGAAAAACACCACAAATGTTAGTGAAGTTGTCTGCCTTGCCAGTTTTAAGTGTTGGAGCAGAGGTTTCAATTCACCCATTCATGAAAACCCCAGAAATTCCTTCTTTCCCTCTCCCACTCCTCTTGGTTAACAATTCTCTACAAAGACTTTGAAGTCTGTGTAAGCTGAGGAGTTGGTAAGAGACTAAATCCTGTCTTGCTACAGTGATCATTTTCTGCCTTGGCCTTACTAGAAGGCCAGAGCTGTCCTAAGGTTAATACTGGTCTAAAAATCTGGCTTGTACTTTACCCCAGAAGTCTGGAAACCAGCTATAGTAGCTAAATCCTCCTATGCCTTTGGAAGGAACTGTAGAGAATCCATTCTCTGTATTTTGTAGGTGCTGCTCAAACTGTTCAGTTACTGTGTGAAGGTGAAAATAAACCGTCAGCAGTTGGTCAAGCCAGAGATGAACACTCTGAACGTCATGCTGGGAACTCTTAACTTGGTAAGGACAACCTGGACCTCCATAGAGTGTTTCCCATGGACTCTGATGAATTTAAACTACTTCTGACTGTCATGCTGCCTTACGACAACTACAAGAGATGTGAAGTATTGCTGCACTGGCACTGCAAATTCTCTGTTAGCTGTTCCTTGCCTGTTGGTGGGAGTGTGTGGGACAGTTAAACCAGTTCCTACTGGTGTTACAATAACTGCTGCTGTCTTCTCCAGGCACTGGTGGCTGAGCAGGAGAGCAAGGACAGCGGAGGAGCGGCCGTGGCAGAGCAAGTGCTCAGTATAATGGAGATCATACTGGATGAATCCAATGCAGAACCTCTGAGCGAGGACAAGGTGAGTGTGCCTGGGGCTCTGTGCATGGATGGAAATACTGACTGGGTTTCCAGGCTTGCAAACACCTTATTACAGTGATGCTGAGCTCAGGAGGTGCAGGGAAGCTCTGAACAGGAGTCTAGCCCTTGTTACGCCTGCTGGCATGTCTTAGCAGGCCGTGGAGGTAGGGCAGGAGGAGTGCCCTGAACCAAAAGCACTGTGAGGCTTCTCTTGGATGATTCTTGCACAGTTGGGCTGGGGGTTATTAGGCACTGCTTGGATCCCTTCCCTGCTGCTTTGGGCCACAGGCCAGTGAGAGACAAGAAAAGACAGAGCTCTGCCTTGTTTGTGTGAGTGTTTTTGGACATGTTGAAAACATGATTGATTTTCCAGCTCATTCAGGATAAAAACAATATCTCAACTACACTGAGAATGAAAAGAGTTTCTTGGTTGTCTTGTGAAACTGTTGATGTGTAGGGATCTGATGTCCTTCAGGCTAGGATTATTAGACCTTTTTGACTAGAACATCATTTAGTAGTTAAGTGAAAGAAGTCACTTGTCAGCTAGAGGAGCTGTTACATCCGTTCCACGAGACATTTGGGAACGAGGCAGGGTTCTGTTCTTTGCCAGCCTATCTGATCAGGGGCTAGACTGGAGTAGTCTACCAGCTACTAGAGCAAGGTTTTTCTGGATCATTATAGATTTATTCCTGAACACAAATCACACTTTTGTTCCTCTGCAGGGTAACCTCCTCCTGACTGGTGACAAGGACCAGCTGGTCATGCTGCTCGATCAGATTAACAGCACTTTTGTCCGCTCCAATCTCAGTGTCTTGCAAGGCCTGCTACGAATCATCCCTTACCTCTCCTTTGGGGAGGTGGAGAAAATGCAGATTCTGGTCGATCGATTCAAGCCCTACTGTAACTTTGATAAGTATGTTGTCATATTTCAACTAAAAGCACGTGAAATCAGTTGTACTGACAAGTCCTATACCTTTTTTTCCCCCTCATCGATGCTTGCTTCAATGTAATGCAAAGCTTCAAAAAATTCCTGCTGCATAAGCTTAATTTCCTGTTTCACTTCTAAGCCATTTTAAAAAGAAGTATGTGAGTGTGTAGCTTGAGAAGTACAGCTTTAGAGAATATTCTGAGGTGACAAGGGTTTGAGTAGCTTTTCTGAGTCTCTGAGCTGGAGTAGATATGTGTGTTGAGTGATAATACAATGAGAATTACAGGGAGCTCCACTTTACCATTTCTTCTCTGTGTTCAGGTATGATGAGGAGCACAGTGGAGATGATAAAGTTTTCCTAGACTGCTTCTGCAAAATAAACAACAGCAATGGCCATCAGCTGAAAGACCTCATCCTTCAGAAGGGGATTACACAGAATGCCCTCGACTACATGAAAAAACACATTCCCAGTGCAAAGAAGTAAGAGTCTCTGTTTAATGTATGTGATAATCCTGAGCATCCTTCTCTCATTTCATCACCACAACCTTCAGAAGCATTTAGGCTTGGCACAGCCATGATGCAGAGGTTCTGGTGAGACAGTGCTGCTGTAGGGGTGGGCTAAAACCCCCATAATCTTCCCATTTGATACCTATCTGAGCTGCTGTCTTGGATCTCAGGATGCTTTCATATCTTGCCTGTCCCTTACCTATTGCTCCATCCCAGAGCTTCGACTCTTGCTGGCCAGCTCCTGAACATAAACCAAATCCCAAGGCTGAGAGCTGGCACTTTATAAGCGTGCACAACATGGAAGTGGGAGTGTGAATGTCACTTCATTAATTAACAGAGGAGGGACACAGGGGGAAGGGTGCTTGTCTTGCCTGCAGCCTGTGCTCTGCAAGCTGTGCTGCTGGCTGACCGCCAGGCGCCTTTGCCGAACGGGTGACTGCCCTTCAGCTGCTGCCTCTTCTTCTCCCTGCAGTTTGGATGCAGACATATGGAAGAAATTCTTAGCTCGACCTGCACTTCCTTTTATCCTGCGCCTGCTCCGAGGACTTGCCACACAGCACCCTGCCACACAGGTAAAGAGACTGTCCTGACAGCCAAGCAGGATGTGGCCGGCCTGGCACGCTGCTTTTTGTGTCTGTAAATAAGCAGTTATTTCTGTAGGAGTTAATTCTGTGCTGGTTTTATCAGACTTGGAGAGACTCACCAGCTTCAGGTGTTGTCTTCTGCTCTGCAGAAGGCTGGAGGGCAGAGAGTTTGGCTTAAATATCTTCTCATTTTATGTGGTGTGAGATTTGCACACCAATGTGAAGAGAAAGTAGTTTGTGAACCATCTATTATTGATCAGCTTCTCAGGGCTGAGTTGTTGGTGTAAGAGTGCTCTCTATGCAACATCCACACCTGAGCTCTTCGTGATGGCCAGTGGAGAGGCAAATTGCCCCAGTCTCATACTCAATTTTAGGGTCCAGGGTCCATAATGTGTGAGCATCAAAGAAGAAGGGAGGACTCTTGGCAGAGACAGCTGCAGCAGATCAGTGCTGCTGCTCAGCTGCCATGGGTGGGATTGGAGAGAAGAGCTCCCATCACGTGCACCCTTTTTGTGAAGGAAGTGCCATGTTTTGGTCCCTCCTAGGTGCTGATAGGTACCGACTCCATTACCAACCTGCACAAGCTGGAGCAGGTGTCCAGTGATGAAGGGATTGGGACGCTGGCAGAGAACCTCCTGGAGGCCCTGAGGGAACACCCCGAGGTGAACAAGAAGATCGATGCTGCCCGGAAGGAGACTCGTGCAGAGAAGAAGCGTATGGCCATGGCAATGAGGCAGAAGGCCCTGGGCACTCTGGGGATGACGGTAATATCTCTTTGCACTGACAGCAGACAAGTGATCTCAGGACCTTTTTGTTTCTCTCTTGCTCAAACTGCCACGCGAGGAATTGTGTGAAATGATTTATTGACAAATATCACGGCCCGCTGCTGCTGGGAGAGTCAACAGGGTTGCTAACAGCAGGCTGGGAAATGGCTTTGGGATTCCTGTGGCCGTGGTGGGGATGCTGATGTTCATCATTATCTTTATCACCTAACTCGAGCTCTTCTCCTTTTCAGACCAATGAGAAGGGTCAGGTAGTGACCAAGACGGCGCTGCTGAAGCAGATGGAGGAGCTCATAGAAGAGCCAGGGCTGACTTGCTGCATCTGCCGGGAAGGGTACAAGTTTCAGGTGAAGTGAGGCACATTTGTAAAGCTCTCCCTCACCAGCTGAAGGGACTTGCCAGTGTCCTGCTGCACAAGGGTTGATGAATTGGCTTTGGGAGGTCGGGGGATCTCAGGTTTGGGTCTTGGGGTCAGTAATTCCAAGGAGGGGTTGGGAAGGGGAGGTGTGTTTCCAGTGAAAGCTGGATGTTGCTCAGTGTAAGTTTGAGGTAGGACTGGGAGAGAGCGTGGTGTCAGAAGAGCAGAGTGTGAGCTGCTTACAGAAATGAGGGATCTTTAACCTAGCTGTTGTGTCATCACAGCCTACGAAGGTCCTGGGCATTTACACTTTCACCAAACGTGTTGCCCTAGAGGAGTTTGAGAACAAGCCCCGAAAACAGCAGGGGTACAGCACAGTCTCTCACTTCAACATCGTCCACTACGACTGTCACCTGGCAGCCGTGAGGTACGTTCTGATCCCAGGCTGGGGAGTGGTGCCTGGTCTTATTTTCCAAGGTGATTTGTGAGCACGACACTTGGCCTCATCACTCAGGGTGGCTTTGCTTGTGAGCTGATCACTTTGCAGCCTGGAGGCAGCTGTGGGCTTCTCTGTTGGGGTCTGCTTTAATGTGCCAAGCAGAGGTCAGGCTTGGACACTGAAAAGCAAAGTCTGTCATTTAAAGTAGCTGTGGAATGGTCAATTTTTTGATGGTATCTTAGACAAAAACTCATATCCTTCTCACCTGCCTGGGTGTGGCTTGCCTTCTCAGACTTGCTCGTGGCCGTGAGGAGTGGGAGAGTGCAGCACTACAAAATGCCAACACCAAGTGTAATGGGCTCCTGCCAGTCTGGGGACCTCACGTGCCAGAATCTGCTTTTGCCACTTGCTTAGCACGGTGAGTAGGAAAAGCTCCTTCTTGAGCTGTTTGCATTGTGTACCAGCTTCAAACTGTGGGATCGAAGATGATGGCAGCCAAATCTGAGTAAACCTGAGCCATGTCAGAGTCTATCATCCAGAAAAAAAGTGCAGGTTTCTGTTTGTTTATAGCATGCCAGGAAGCAAAGAAATCCAGCAGCTCCATAGCCCCCAGTCACTCCTGAAGATGTGTGCAGTAACAATGTTGATTCATTTGCAGTCCAATGACCCCCAAGCTGACAAAAAAAACCACCTCTCTGGCACCAGCAGATTCCCAGGTGCAGATTTCCAAACCTCTGTGGGATGGTGGTGAGTTACCTGACCACTGTCTAACCACTTACCTGGAGCAGGTGGAGATGGTTCATCCTGGTGTCAGTATCCTGGTCTGCCTCGTGCTGGGTTTGTCCAGTCTCATCAGGAGCCAGGAGTGGTAACATCTTTAATGCCTTTCAGCCAGGGAGCTGTGGCCCAAGCCCTGAATGTGGGAAAATAGTATTGATGGGTGTATAGATGTGTGCAGAGGGAACTGGATTTGCCAGAGGAAGCTGAGAGCCTCCCTTTGGGGAGGTTACAAAGGTGGCAGTGCTTTTGCTTTTGTATTCTGTCCATTCTTAGAGGCTTTTCTGTGAGAGGCTCAGACTCTGAGCTCTGGCAGGGAAGAAGAAACTGTATTAAAGCTCTGAAAGGGTTTTTAATGTCAGGCTTGCTGCTGTTTTTCAGACACAACACATACCTCCAGGAGTGCACGGGGCAGAGGGAACCCACCTACCAGCTCAACGTCCACGACATCAAGCTGCTGTTCCTGCGCTTCGCAATGGAGCAATCCTTCAGTGTGGACACTGGGGGAGGAGGAAGGGAGAGCAACATCCACCTCATTCCCTACATCATCCACACTGTGCTCTACGTCCTCAACACGTCAGTACCTTTCTCTTGCTCTGCCTTCCCCTCCTGGTCTCAGAAAGGTCTAGAAGGGCTGCAGGCTGGGCTTCGTTACGTGGATGTGGCAACAGTGGTGGGAAATCACACAGAAGTTTTAAGAGGAACCACAGTGCACATTTTAAGCAGCTTGTTACAGGTTTATGTTGTTTGGAGTAAAGCACTGCTGCCTGGACATGCAGGATAGCAGGGAACCTATTGAGTAAAAGCAATTGGGAATTAGCTTCTCCAGTCTAGATGTAATTATTACCTCTGGGATGAGCAACAGGGTTGTTAGATGAAAGAACCACTGCCAGCTTAATTTTCCCTGGGACAGACTGAAGGGAGAAACACCACGATGAAGTAATTGTTCTTAGTTGAAAACTTCATATCATTAACACCATCAGTTCTGCTTCCAGTTTTGACATACTGGAATCCTCCTGTCGTGTTCAGCTCTGTCAGATTTTCCTGACCATGTAAAGCTGTTTTTATTTATGATTAATTTTTTTTGTGTTACCAATAAACAGCAGCATAGGAACACCTCTGCTGAAGTGTTTCAGTAAGATCTTATTTATGCAAAGCATGATGAGGTAAGGGTGTGCTTGGGCTTGACACTGTGTCCAAGTGTACAAATCCAGAGGCACCTCAACACTTTGGAATGCATGAGCTGGTTCTGGTTATACAATACCCCATACCACAATGCAGTGCCTATATGCCTTTTATTTGTGTAGTTAGATATTAGAAAGTAATCCTCATTAGATGGGGGTGTAAATGATAAAATACCTCCTCAGCCAAGGTCACTGCAGAGTACAGTGAAATCTCTCTCACTTTCCCTCCTGGAACTAATGAATGTTTTGGCCCTAATACAATTTGTCTATTGTTTTTAATATCTATCTCCAGATCCCTGTGCTATTGTTTTCTCAGTCCCTTGGGAGACAAATAAATGAACTATTCTTTTCATCTCGTTAGGCTGCTTACTGGCACCAGAGAGCCCAGAACCCACTGTGTGGCTGTTATAGAAAAATGCATTATGTAGTTTCCAGACATTATTTGTTTCTAAAGCCCTCTTGATATTAAATGAAGAAAATGAAGAGCTACTAGCTGGCCACCAGCTGCATCATGTAGCAAATGAAAAGGTCACACAACACTGACACCAGACACAGCTTTATCTGCCAGGATGCTGCTTTTTATACCTTCCTGACAGGGAGAGGATATCTGACTTAAAAATCAAAGGAGCTGCCTGGCTGGCAGCCTCTCCCTGATGAAGACTGTGGTGAAGTGTGATACAGCAGAGTCTGCTGTAACACAGAGTTTGCACAGTCAGCTCTGGGGTGTCAGGACTCCTGAAGAGACTGGTGCTTGGGGAAAGGGGGGGAAAAAAATTATATCTATAAGCTTACAGTAAATAGACTTATCATTTTGGTTTTGAAATGGGCCTGTATCATCTCAAACAACAGTGTTTTTGTGGTAGATGAATAATAGAAATTGATTCCAAGGTCTGGCTGTGGGAGCTGCAGTCAAGTGCTTAGTGTCAGATGGGAGATGGTACAACCTGAACACACCAACTGCCTGGCCTGACTCTGGTTTTCTCTAAAACATGGACAAACAGCTCTCCAGCAGTGTTGCCCTCTATCAGCAATGCCTGCTGCCTTGCACACCTCTCTAGTGCCATGCCCAGCTCCAAGGAAAAGTGAGTTTGCTAGGCTTGTGTGCTTCCCTGGGAGCAAACACTCAACCAGGGGGTGAATTTGGGAAAACCCCAACTGTGCCAAGCCAGCCCTGCCTCTTCTGGTGTAGGGCTGTGGGAAGGCAGCACCTCAAAGCTCCTGAGAAGCAGCAAATTCACACAGAAGAGCCAGAGCAGCTGCTGAAGCTTTTTCTTGTGTTTCAGAACTCGAGCAACTTCGAGGGAGGAGAAAAACCTCCAGAGCTTCATGGAGCACCCCAAAGAGAAGTGGGTGGAGAGTGCCTACGAGGTGGACGGGCCCCATTACTACACTGTGCTGGCTCTGCACATCTCACCCCCTGAGAAGTGGAAAGCCATCCGAGTGGAGATCCTCAAGAGGCTCCTGGTCACCTCCCACGCACGAGTGGTGGCACCAGGGGGAGCCAGCAGGTCAGTCCCCACCCCAGGGCTGCTCCCCTGCTGCCAGCTCTGCTTGTTGGCATCCTGTCCCAGGAGTCACAGCCCCCCCGGGGGGGAAGGAGGGCAGTATGCATGTGCTGGAGTAGCACACTGACCCTGCTGAGGAGCTTTGTGCTCAGCACTGCAGAGGCATGAGCAGGAGCATTCAATTCTGGGTGGGTTTTGGAGTGGATCAATCAGCTGATCCATGGAAATGAGGGTTTTCCTATGAGTACAGCTAAATGGCAAGATGCTGTTTCCCCCCCACCTCCAGTGAAGTGCTGTGGTGTGCTGGTTCAGAGCTGCCAGCATGCTCTCTGCCTGCCTGACTTAAAGAAGCTGTTTCTCTGCTCTTTTGATCCAGTGCAGCAGCTTCCATGAATAGAAAAATAGAAATAGAAATCAAATGCCATTGCTTTTAAAAAAGAAAAAAAAAAA